AGTAGTAGTAGTGGTAGAAGTAGTAGTAGTAGTAGTAGTAGTAGTAGTAGTAGTAGTAGTAGTAGTAGTAGTAGTAATACTACTGTTAGTAGTAGTGGTAGTAGTGGTAGTAGAAGTAGTAGTCGTATTAGTAGTAGTCGTATTAGTAGTAGTAGTAGTAGTAGTAGTAGTAGCAGCAGGAATAGTAGTAGTAGTGGTAGTGGTAGTGGTAGTGGTAGTAGTAGTAGTAGTAGTAGTAGTAGTAGTAGTAGTAGTAGTACAGTAGTAGTAGTAGAAGTAATAAGAATATTAGTAGTAGTAGTAGTAGTAGTAGTAGTAGCAGTAGTATTAGTAGTAGTAGAGGTGGTATCAGTTGTACTAGTAGTAGTAGTAGTCGTAGTAGTAGTAGTATTATTATTATTAGTAGTAGTGGTAGTATTAGTGGTAATAGGTAGTAGTAGTAGTAGTAGTAGTAGTAGTAGTAGTAGTAGTAGTAGTAGTAGTAGTAGTAGTAGTAGTAGTAGTAATAACGTGGCGAGCCCATAGCGGCGCCCCCACTCGCGTGGCGTCACCTGCAGCCTGCGCCTAGGCGAGGCAACTGGCTACCTGTCATTTTGGCCTGCCATTCTGGCCTCATCTCGCGCCCTCTTGCGCTAATATAAATAGGCTTGGGTGGCGGTACTAGGGTCGCCCCGTGCGCTGCTATGCTGTCGCCTGCGCCTTACTCTTTGCTGTAGGGACCAGCTGCCCTCGGCCAGGCGCCAGTTGCTGCATGCACGTCAGACCCGCCCTTGGCTTGCCACCCAGGCCTAGCCTCGCGCCTTCCCGCGCTAGTCGGCCTGGGTGGCGGTACTGGGGTCGCCCCGTGTGCTGCTGTGCCGTTGCTGGCGCTTCACCCTGGGCTGTTGGTCCAACTGCCCACGGTGCGAGCGCCTGACGTTGCAAGCATGTCAGACCCGCCCTTTCACCCAGAAGAGGTGCGCGCTACATACTGGGAATGAGGCAGCCACAGGGACGCTCTTCCCTAGGTGGTTGAGCCGTGGTGATGTGTGCACGAGACCGCCAGTAGTAGTAGTAGTAGTAGTAGTAGTAGTAGTAGTAGTAGTAGTAGTAGTAGTAGTAGTAGTAGTAGGTAGTAGGTAGTAGTAGTAGGTAGTAGGTAGTAGGTAGTAGGTAGGTAGTAGTAGTAGTCGTAGTAGTAGTAGTAGTAGTAGTAGTAGTAGTAGTAGTAGTAGTAGAAGTAGTAGTAGTAGTAGTAGTAGTAGGAGTAGCAGTAGCAGTAGCAGTAGTAGTAGTAGTAGTAGTAGTACTAGTAGTAGTAGTAGTAGTAGTAACTACTAACTACTACTACTACTACTACTACTACTACTACAAGTGTAGCAGTAGTAGCAGTAGTAATAGTAGTAGTAGTAGTATAGTAGTAGTAGTAGTAGTAGTAGTAGTAGTAGTTAGTAGTAGTAGTAGTAGTAGTAGTAGTAGTAGTAGTAGTAGTAGTAGTAGTAGTAGTAGTAGTAGTAGTAGTAGTAATAGTAGTAGTAGTAGGAGTACTAGTACTAGTAGTAGTAGTAGTAGTAGTAGTAGTAGTAGTAGTAGTAGTAGTAGTAGTAGTAGTAACAGTAGTAACAGTAGTCGTAATAATTGTTGATGTTGTTGCTGGTGGTGGTGAGATATGTTTTTGTGCAAATTGGCTGCGCGGTACCGCTTCCAGGCGGCTGTACGCGCGCATATCCAGAGATCGGACGCGCCATGCGCGTGCGTAACAAGCTGGGGTTCGTTCGATGTTCTCTTCCAAGTCATGCTCCACCCGCCGTCGCCAGCAATATCCTGGACCGCGTTCACGTCCTGCGGCATCAGGTGCCGCCAAGGGTTCGCGCGGCTGCGTTTCACAGTGCGTGGAACGGATGATGCACGGCACGGCGGTTTCGGCAGCGCGATGGCCCCCGCAATCTCTGCATGCTCGGCTATGGCGGGATGGCGCAGGACAGCGTGGCGCACTGCGCTAAGCGCCGGGTCGTCCAGCGCGTCCATGCACGTGCTGAACATCACGGGCGAATGATTTCTTCCACGGTGGGTTGGCGCCCGCGACAACCAGCGAAGCGACCAGCAGCTGGCGCTGGGCGCGATTGGCGCGTACACTTAGGTCGGGTATGTCCTCCTACAGGCGAATTCTGGAAGAAGTAAACACTAAAATACCCGAAAATAGTTCATAGAGCACGAGAAACCGTCCCCAAAATATTTTCTCTAGTCTTGGATACTCCTCCTGTAGAGGGACACGCCCGACTTTAAGCCTACACCACATGCCGCGCCACGAACGCAGCAAGACACCAAGGTGGATTATTGGCCGGCTGCGGGCGGGCCCTGCAGCAGTCCATCCGCCAGGCAATCGGGGCCACGCCACGGCCGATGTCTGGCGCGACCGGCAGTGCGTGCGGCGATGATCCAAGCGGCACGGCACCAGACTGCTGGTGGTCTCGCTGGCTGCGGCGTTGGCGGCCGCGCCAGCAGCAACACAAGCGGCTTCGCCAGCGACGCCGTGGACATCTCCGCTGGCTCTGATTGCCCGCACTCTGCCTCCTCCTCCTCTTCCTCCTCCTCCTCCTCCTCCTCCACCGGCCTGTCGCTGGCGAGTACTTTGAGTATGACGTGGCATGTTTGCGACGTGTTCGAGGATATGTTCCCTCCTGCTGTCATCTTCGTCCTTCCCCTCTCCTCTTGCCGCTTCCGCTCCTTTGAGCCGTCGGCCTCGCCTCCCCCCGTCGAGAGGCTACTCCTTGCTGGGGGCGTGGTGTGGTGCGTGGGGCCTGCGGTCCGATTGCGGATGCTAGGCGCACGCGCCGTGCTGCGACCTCGGTTTGGCACGGCGCCCGCTCCCCCGCTGCCTTCGCCGGGGCCGCTGCTGCATTTGCTGGTGGACCGATCGCTCCCTGACGGCGGCAGTGGAGGGCGTGGTGCCCTTGGCTGTGCACTGGCACCTCCCGAAAATTAAAGCCGCCGGCGCCCCGCGTCCAGTGCGGCGCCGAGCTGACAGGTTTGAGGGGAGTTCCCCCCTTATCCGCTCCGTGGTCCGATCGACCTGGACTCTTTCGCATCACCTGCTTGCCTCCCGCCTTCTCTCGTCCTCCTCTCCCTCCCGTTCTCTCCTCCGCATCGTGGAACCACATTCTCCGTCCGGCCGCATGGCTTCCAGCCGGGATGTTCGGCGTGGGAGCGCTCCTCCCGCTCTCCGTGCCGCCAGACCATACATATTCTAGACACGCGCGCTCCACTACTCACAAAGTAGCTACTCGCAAATGGTCTGGATCCGCCGCGGGGGATTCACGATGTGTTTACACCAAGGCAAACAATTGTTTCTCGGACGTTGCGAATAGGCACTCTGCGAATAGTGGAACGCGCTCGGTGAACATCCGACGCCTGCCGCTGTGGAGCTGCACTTTGGAAACGGCCCAGGGTGGCACCCTTTCATGCCCCAGGCTTGCGGGGCCCCGCGCCCAGCGCCACCCGCCCGGCATTCTCGCCCGCCGCTGCTTTTCTTCCCGTCGGTGGCCCTGGCGGGCACTGGCGCCAGCGCCGGTGTCATGCTCCCGGATGCCTCTCCAGGCATGCGTCGGCGGCGGTGCTCTCCGGCGCCTGACTAAACGTCCCCCGCGGGCCTTCGCTCTCGAGCGGGCAGGGCGTCAGTTTCCGCTCCCTTCCCTCCTCTTTTTCATTGGCGAGGCACCAAAGCTTCGAGGCCGCTCCCTGCCCTGGAGCGGGGGGCTGGCACGCCCGCCCCTTCTCGTGGGTGCAGTCGCCAGTGTTTTTGTTGGCAGGGCGCTTCCGCCCCAGCTAGTGTCACGGCTTTCGCCCTCGCTTTCGAGCGTGTCACGGACTCGGTGCGGTCGCGCCCGAATCTGGAGCTACTATATATATATATACACAAATACACACGTATATACACATATATTGACACATATATCTGTACACGTATATATGTACGTATGTATGTATATCGATATATGTGCACAGGCATACTGATGGGTATGTATACAGTTAGATATAGCGAGGATGAGATGTAAGTAGACCAGAATATTGATATACACATGTATGTATATAAACATATAGATCGATCGATTGATATTTATATATGTGGATGCATGTATTTGTTCTATAATATGTACATAAACAGGCAATTATATACATGCACCAAACACGTGGCACACATAACAACTCGATATTTCGATATATATATATATATATATATATATATATATATATGTGCGTTTGCCTGAAACGTGCATCTGTATGTGGATGTACATATAGGTACATATATGCACATATTGGGGCACAAGAACATGAATACATGTATCTATGTGGATAGAGCGGTATATCGATATGCCTATAGAAAGATATGCATACAGCTTTATATGAGTCAATCTAGAGATGCGAAGACATGCATATAGATATGCACACATATGCCGATCGACATTCACACATATACGGAAACACATGCACAAACAGACAGGCAGGCAGAGAGACAGACAGACAGGCAGGTGGGTAGGAAGGTAGGTGGATAGGAGCACACACATATATATATATATATACATATATGTATATATATATAACGATAGATAGCTAGATGGGTCGATCGCCTGGGCGACGGCGACGATGGCGGCGTCGTCAGCGCAGCCACCGTCACCAGCCCCTCCTGCTCCCCGAACTTCCTCGACCTCCTCCTCTTCCTCCTCACTTCCCTCACGCTTCCACTTACCTCCTCGTCCTCCTCTCCTGCTCCTCTCCCCTTGCCCTTCCCCCAAATCCTGGAGGACACATCCCCCCTTCTCTCATCCCTTCCGCCTCCATCCTGTCCACCCCCCCTCCCCCTTCCTGCCCCCCCCCCGGTGACGGCGACGACGGCAACGACAAGGACGACGACGACGACGACGACGACGACGACGACGACGACGACGACGACGACGGCGGCGGCGGCGACGGCGGCGGCGGCGACGACGACGACGACGACGACGACGACGACGGCGGCGGGCCTCGGCAGGGCGTGCCCGCCGCCCCACGCGGCGGCCTCCGCGCGGGAGGGCCAGGCGCCGCAGTGCTCCCTGTGGGCCGCCCAGGCCTGGAAGTCGTCGTCGCCGTTGCCGTCATCGCTGGCGGCGGCGGCGTCGTCGTAGGCCCCCCTCCTCCTCCTCCTCCTCCGCCTCCTCCTCCTCCGCCTCCTCCTCCTCCTCCTCCTCCTCCGCCTCCTCCTCCTCCTCACGCTTCTGCTCGCCTTCCACACCCTCCTCGTGCTCTTCCTCCTCCTTCCTCCTCCTGCCTCTTCTCGCCCCCTTCCCGTCCTCTCCTCCTCGTCGTGCTCCTCTTCCTCTTCGTCCTTCTCCTCCTGCGCCGTCTCGTCTTCATCCTCCTCATCCTCGTGGTTCTGCTCCCCGTCGTGCTCGTCTTCGACCTTCCAGTCCCCCGTCTCCTGCTCGATCTCGTGGCCGTCCAAAAACCCTTCCTCTCCTGCTCGTCCTGCTGCTCCTCCTCCTCCTGCTGCTCCTCCTCCTCCTCCTCCTCCTCCTCCTCCTCCTCCTCCTCCTCCTCCTCCTCCTCCTCCTCCTCCTCCCGCCTCGCACGCGGCCCGGGAGGCCGCGGGCCGTGCCGAGCCGCTGGCTGCGGCGGTTTCTTGGCACTGGCTCCGTCGACCCGGGCTGCTGCCAGACAGCGGCACTGTGTGGACGTGCCAGGTGTGCCATGCGAACGACTGCTGGGGGCTGGGAGGAGGAGGAGGAGGAGGAGGAGGAGGAGGAGGAGGAGGAGGAGGAGGAGGAGGAGGAGGGGGGAGGAGGAGGAGGAGGAGGAGGAGGAGGAGAGGAGGGAAGAAGTGCTGGAGTTAAGTCGGGGCTGTCTCTCCACAGGAGGAATCATGAGAAACATGGGGTACAGGGGCGAGGGGGCGGCCACCGGCGACTGCTCGGGTCGGGCGAAAGGGGGGGATAGCAAAGGGGGGGTTTGAGAATCAGCTCACGTAGCTGCTTTTCCCGGCGCCTCCCGGCGCCGGAGGCGGCCATGTATCGAGGAATGGGCCCCTCGGTGAGGCCTGAACCAGCTGCATGCAGCAAATTTCGTAACCCCTTCTTTCCCAATCCCCCCCTTTCGCCCGGCCCGAACTGCTGGGGGCACGGCAAGGTGTGCGAATGGCGCGAGAAGCCGCGCCGCGAGAGGAAGGCAACAGGGGGTGCAGGGGCGAGGGGGCGGCCACCGGCGGAGGCAGCGGATGGTGCGAGCGACGCCCTCGACGGAGGACGCGCGGGACCTCGGGAAGGAGCTCGAAGTCCAGCGGGCTCGCCTCCGTGATCTCGAGAAGCTCGCCCAGGAGCCCGGGAATGGAGGTAAAACAGGGCTAGGATCGGGATACATCGATCCAGAGCGTTCCGGAACGCTCTCAGAGCGTTCCGGAACGCTCTGGAGCGGCCGCGGCGCCCAATACATCCTCCAAACCCGCCGATTCTCAGAGATTTCGAGTTATCCCGATCCGATTTTGTCCCGATCTTCGCGTCGTTTGAGGAGGGCGCGTCCCCGAAGCCGCCTCGGAGCTGCAGGAGCCGATCGCCCGGGCGGCTGGGCCCGGGGGGGGGAGGCCGCTCTCCCGCGGGAGGGTCTGCCGAGGCGGCGCGGCGGTGCGCCGCCGCCCGGCGGCAGGCAGAGACGTTCCCGAGCGGGGCTGCGGCCACGATGCAAGAACGGTTTTTTGAAGGCAAATCTGCCTTCAAAAAATTGTTACTTTGAAGGCAGATCTGCCTTCAAAGTAAGACCGGTTTTTTGAAGGCAGATCTGCCTTCAAAAAACCGTTCTTACTTTGAAGGCAGATCTGCCTTCAAAAAACCGTTCTTTTGAAGGCAGATCTGCCTTCAAAAAACCGTTCTCACAGAGCTGCGCAGGCAGAGGGAGGAGCTGGACGAGGAGCGCGAGGGCGCAGAGTCCACGGCGGGCTCGTGCACCGAGAAGGTCGACATGCTCGAGCAGAAGCAGAGGACCCGTCAGCCCGTGTGTCGGGCCGGGCGAGAGGGGGGGGATAGCAAAGGGGGGGTTTGAGAAGCAGCTCACGTAGCTGATTTTCCCGGCGCCTCCCGGCGCCGGAGGCGGCCATGTATCGAGGAGTGGGCCCCTCGGTGAGGCCTGAACCAGCTGCATGACGATGCAAGAACGGTTTTTTGAAGGCAGATCTGCCTTCAAAAAATGGTGTTTTGAAGGCAAATCTGCCTTCAAAGTAAGAACGGTTTTTTGAAGGCAGATCTGCCTTCAGAAAACCGTTCTTACTTTGAAGGCAGATCTGCCTTCAAAAAACCGTTCTTTTGAAGGCAGATCTGCCTTCAAAAAACCGTTCTTACAGAGCTGCGCAGGCAGAGGGAGGAGCTGGACGAGGAGCGCGAGGGCGCAGAGTCCACGGCGGGCTCGTGCACCGAGAAGGTCGACATGCTCGAGCAGAAGCAGAGGACCCGTCAGCCCGTATGGGAAGGATGCGCGAGAAGGCTGCAAGGGCCTTGGGCGCCCGTTCCGAAGCTTTTCGAGCGGGGCGCGGCCAGCGAAAGTGGCCAAGGATGGGCCGAGGAGGCAAGGGTGTAAGGGTACCCCGTGGGAAGGGTGCCCATCCTTACCATGCGGGTTGACTGTAGCTGGCGCGTCCGCCCACAGGCAAGGGCTTGAACAGTGTGCTGGCACACCTCCAGGGCGCCCACAAGCGGCGGCTATGGACGCCGCGGGCGAGCAAGGCAACCCAGCCCTCGACCAGCAGCCGGGCAACGTTCTGCAGCTGGCCCAGCAGAAGGGAACTGCCGCAGGGCCGACGAATGACACGGACACTGGCCTTGGACAAGGACAGAGCGCCAGCAATGGTACCCCAGCGACACCACGCAGGCGCAAGCGAGGAGCCAATCATGTCAACGCGGAGGGCATCTTCGAGCTCCCCTCCAAGGCGCCAGAGACAAAGCTGCTCAAGATCAGCATGCTCCTCTGCCACACGGCGTGCTGTCTCACATGGCGGAGGTGATCACATTCACGGTGCAGGAGAGCGCCCTGCAGGGCTCCTGACGGAAGGCAGGCCCGGGTCAGAGTGCCAACGACAAGCAAGCATTCGTAGTAAGCAGTGTGACCACGTCCGACCAGTTCGCGAAGATCCTGTGGAGCCTGTGCTGCCAGGTGAAGCAGCCGATCGCCCTCGGCCAGGAGCTCCAGCTCGGCGAGCAGCACGTGTGGGTAGTGTCGGAGAAGCTGCTGAAGAGTGGTCGGACGGCAGCTGTGGTGGATAGCGCCGCGGCCAAAGGTGGGCAGAGGGCAGGAGGTAATGCTAGCGGTGCCAAATCGCCTGAGCATCACACGCCCCCCTTTTGGGCGCCCGAAGTGGGTACGGAAAGAATGGGCAGAATGCCCAACAACAAATGTTGTCCCACACCAACAGCGGCCGCTGTTGGGCAGGCGGCCTCCTGTCTGGAATGGACACAGGCCGCGGCGGCGTGGACAACGAGTCCTGTTCAAAATGAACAAGATCCGCTGTTGGGCATTGTGCCCTTTCTTTCCGTGTCCGTGCAGAACCCTGGGCTGAAGGACAAGTGGAGCGCCTCCCAACAGGAGTCGCCAAGGAGACTCTCTGTGGGCTACGTCATGGCGTGCAAGAGATACGGCATCGCAGTGGGCTCGATCCTCTTTGGGGTTTCAGAAGGCCCGGCAGAGCCCTAGTCAATCCGCTGGCACGCTGCTCGGCCTTCAGGGAGGCAACGAGCAGACTGAGGATCCTGGGCGGCGACTTAAACATGGCGCCGACCACGTTGATGGACACGGACATCCTGAAGCGCATGACGGGCAGAGTGGTGTATGATGAGAAGCTGGGCACATTCAAGAGCATGGCAGGATGCACCACGCGCGACTACCTCATCATCTCGGAGAACCTCCTGCAGGAATACAGCCAGCCCGTACAACAAGGAAGCACGATGAGAATGCAAGGGCCTTGGAAAGGTCATGCCGACACTCTGCGAGTGGGCCGCGGCCAGCGAAAGCGGCCAAGGATGGGCAAAATGCGAGAGGATGCAGGGGTAACCTTGGAAAGTCGCTCATCCTTACTCTGCGGGTTGCCTGTAAGTGTCCGCGGAGGTGATGGCCACCTTCGACGCGAAGCCACACATCGGCCTGTCAAAGATGGCGCGTGGCAGTTGAGCGGCGGCTCCAAGTTGTGCTGCAAGTGCAGGAGGGGGAGACGTGGCCGCCAGTGCCAAGCCACAGGTTGTCCTGGACCGTCGGTGGTGTGGCCTGGACCGCTGCGCCGAGAGTTCGGGGAAGGTCAGGTTCGTGCCGTGCCGACTTCGGCGTTGGTTTCTGACCCCGCGGGGATCGTTCAACCTTGAACGATCTGCCGTTTCCGAAACGTCCAAATCGTTCCTCTTTTTTTCAGCCACTGAGAGAGAGAGCGAGCCAACGGCAGACTCCGAGGTAGTCGAGATAACCCACCAGGATCGCATTCTGAAGGCGCAGATGCTGGGGCACCATCTTGTGCTTCGGCCAACGTCTGTTTGATGTCGGCGCTGCGCCCCGCGTGCCCAGCGTAATGCTCTGGATACGTACAAGCCCCCTCAACGGAGCCGAGGTTCGGACGTCCAGAGGGGGTCCGACGCGTCTGTGGGAAGGGCGCCATCCCAAAGCAGGGGCTCCTGTAGAACGATCTGCGGGAAACCAACAAACGCCCGTTGCTCTGACCTGTGGCAGGTGTCCTCGGCGAAACAAGATCCTGAACGAGAGCCTTGCCATCTGCCACACACCTTCCCCACCCTCCTCCTTCCCCCTCCCCTTCCCCACCCTCCTCCTTCTGAACCTATTTCTCCCCCTCCCTCCCTCCCACCCTACTTTCCTCCCTCCCTCCTCCACATCCATCATCCCTCACAACCCCTCCCCCTCCTCCTCCTCCTCCTCCTCCTCCTCCTCCTCCTGCTCCTCCTCCTCCTCCTCCTTCTCTTCCCTCTTCCTCCTCCTCCTCCTCCTCTGCCGCCGCCGCCTCCTCCTCCTCCCCCTCCTCCGCATCCACCTCCTCCTCCTCTCTCCTCCTCCTCCTCCTCCTCCTCCTCCTCCCCCTCCTCCTCCTCCTCCTCCTCCTCCTCGTCCTTCTCATCTTACGCACTCTGAACCCCCTTCTTCTGTCAGCTTCGGAATGGAAGACACCACCTGGATGCGACGCTGGGGGTCACCGCCGGCCGACCGGGCAGGATACCGATCAGCACGTCTTTCACAGTTCTCCCAGGACCAGGTTTTGAACCATCTGGACGTGCGCCCAACGCGGCTGAAGCGCTAGCCTATTCCTTCCCTCATCCATCCTCCTCCTCCTTCTCCTCCTCCTCCTCCTCCTCCTCCTCCTCCTCCTCCTCGGCCTCCTCCTCCTCCTCCTCCTCCTCCTCCTCATCATCCATGATCATCATCATCATCATCATCAGCAGCAGCATCATCATCATCACCATTACCTCCATCATCATCATCATCATCAGCATCATCATCATCATCATCATCATCATCATCATCATCATCATCATCATCATCATCACATCATCATTACCTCCATCATCATCATCATCATCATCATCATCATCAGCATCATCAGCATCATCATCATCATCATCATCATCAGCATCATCAGCATCATCATCATCATCATCATCATCATCATCATCATCATCATCATCATCATCATCATCATCATCATCATCATCATCATCATCGTCATCGTATCGTCATCGTCATCGTCATCTTCATCATCATCACCCCTCCGCCCCCGGCGGCCACGACGGCGGCAAACTCGACGGCGCTGGCCACGGCGGCGACGGCCACGGCAACGACGACGGCGGCGGCGCGCGGGCGCCACCTCCGCCGCGCAGGGCGGCGCCAGCGCCGCCCGCTGCCGCGGGGAGACCGGCCCCGGGCAGCATTCCGCCTCCGGGAGATCCGAGCAGGGGCCCGCCCCGTGCAGCATGCCGCGGCGGGCACCGCGGGCCCCCACCCGTCAAGGGGGGGGGGTCTTTCGGCGGGTTCGAGCCGAGGGGAGCAGAAAGAAGAGGAGGAGGAGGAGGAGGAGGAGGAGGAGGAGGGCGCGGGGAGTGCGCTGAGGGCGGAGGATGGAGAAGGACGATCGAGGGACGGAGGGACCAGAACTCGAAGAGCAGCACGCAGATCAATTGTCAGAGACGGAACGAAGCCCGAGCCTTTTCTGACAGGGCAGCCTGTGCAAGTTATGTCATGTAGCGATCTCGGGGCCGCGGGAACTACTGTATGGGGGTCGTCCAGATGTGGCCTTCGGCGAATCCCCACCTTCCACTACTTTTCTCGGCCTATGGCCGAGGGTGTTCAGGCCAGTGGCAGCCTGAAAAAATTATACAGAGATCTCTGGATCGCGGGAAAGCTATGCAGCAGCCTTCTAGACCAGGCAGAGGACGAGAAGGGCGACGACGCCAAAGACGACAACGACAAGAAGAATCCAAACACGCACCGCTGATGCTGCAGAGCAGCCAGGCCACTACAGCGCTGAATGAGGAACGAAGCCCCTTCTTGGAGCACTGGAGGAACAACCGCGGAAGGACCATGAGGAATGCAGTCCCAGACATGCGACGTCCTGATTTTTTCAGGACGGCGTCTCCAAGAGGCCAAACCCTTTTCCTGGGGCCGGTTTTTCATCCTGGGTAATTTTGTTGACGGCCCCGGGGACCGGCGAGGGCCCCCAGAGGCCGAAAATAGCGAAAAACCTGCCGTCCTGATTTTGTTACGGTACGATCATGTCTGGGGTCGAAACATACGATAAGAGACCTTGTTACCAGAAACATTGGGACACATCCTTCGTCGATCCCTGGACCTCCTCAAGTGTCCCAGGGCTTCTGTGGGTCCCCGAGGCCATCGGGAACGAAACAAACAACTTCCGCGGGGCATCGGCTGTGAGGGGCAACGGGGCAACGAGAAGTGGGGGATAGGATTGGCATAGGAGAGGGGGGAGGGGGGGGAACGTCGACCTGGAATCGGCGATACGTCGCCGACAGATCGGCGAGAGGCCGCCGATGATGGATCCGCACGTGCCCGGGCAGGTGGGGGCCAGCGGGCCACTGCCGGCGATCAGCGCGCGATGCGGGGTCGACGTGCTTCCCCTCCTGCCCCTCCCCCCCTGCCTCGGGGCTGGACAGACCCCCCTTTAAAACGTGGTCTGGTGAAAACGGCCTGAGGCCCAGACCTGGCGGGCGCAAGCCTGGAAAGTAGCGGCCACGGCGCCCTCTCGAGAACCGAAAACGGACCATGCACCAATCGACGTGTCACTGTTGGGGGTTCTGTCCACCCCCGACTGTCGCGGCCCCTGACGCTGGCAGACAACCTCCGTCTTTGATGTCCGGGAGCGCAGCGAGCCCCTCCCGAGCCCCCATCGCCCAGTGATCGCCGAGTCCAGGCCGATGCGTCCACCCCATGCCTGTCCCCCCCCCCACGTCTGTGCCCCTGATGCTGGCAGGCAAGCCCTGGTGCGTTCACCTCCCGACCTCTCATGAGGCGCTGTCTATCTATCTATCCTTTCTCTGATGTCCCAAAGTGCAGCGAGCCCATTCCGAGCTCCGAGCTGCTCCTATTGCCAGCGTCTGGGCTGGTCGCCCTCCCGCCCCCGAGATCCCCAGGCCCACTGCAGGCGCCCAGGGACACAAATAAATAGGCACACATCCCAGAATGCCACACCTTTGTCCCTATCTTCTGGAGCTTCGTTTTCCCCCCCAAACGCACCTCCCATAAGTTCTTCATAGTATCCTGGGACAGATAAATGACCACACATCCCAGGTCCACGTCTTTGACCATACTTTCGGGAGCTCCGTCTTCCCCCCCCCCCCACACCTCCTATAAGTTCTGAATAGTTTCCTGGGAATCGACGATTCTTTGTGTCTGCGTGTGTTTTTTCATGACCCCTCAAAGAAGCACACGCAGCCCCTGCGCCGGCTGGAAAGTGTTTGCTTACCCTCTGGGCCATAACGCGCGTTATGCCCCCTACCCTCCCCCCCTTCCCCCCCCCATAACACAACGCTCCCCCCTCAGTGCGTCTCTGGCACTGCCGCAGTGCGTCCAGCACCAGTCTGGAAGGGAAGGGCGCTACGTTATGCCCCCTCCCGTCCCCCCCCCTCCCCCCCATGACGCCCGTTGCGGCCACGAATGCAAAAGTGCGCTCCTGGAGGAGGCGGGAGCTCCAACAGAGACCTGGACATCATTTCTGGATGGGCTGCTGGGGAGGTGAACGCATTCTTTGTTTCGCGGCCATGGCGGGCGTCATCGGGGGGGAGGGGGAAGGGGGGGAGGGGAGGGGGCATAACGTAGCGCCCCCCCCCTCTCAGACTGTGGTAACCGACGCACTGCGGCAGTGCCGGAAACGGGGGAGCTAGCTTAACGTTATGGGGGCGGGGGAGGAGGGGGGGGAGGGCAGGGGGCATAAGGGGCGTTATGGCCCAGAGGGTTTAAAAAGACGCGCTCTTTTTGGGTGGGCTGCTGAGTGAGTGCTGGAAGCGTCAGGAGTCACATTCGTGCACCCGCCCTTCAGGGTGGGAAGAATGGCGCAATCGTCCTGAAGGAAACCCGCTGGCAGAAGGGCTAACGAAGGACGGTGCTCGCCACAGAACTGAAGCGCTGCGCCGCGGGTGACGTGCTGCATCTTCAGAGGACCTTGTCTGTCCCGCCGCGCACCTATTTGCGTCGAGTCCGTGCCGAATCCGTGTCGGACTCGTCGGATCCGCGCCGAATCCACAGCAAATCCACGTCGAGCTCGCATCGAGCCCGCGCCCGGCTCCAGAGAAGACACCAATTTCTCAGGGACAGACGAGGTCCCACGCAGATGCAAGTAACGAACGACGGTGCTGCGATGCTGGACTCCTCCTCCTCCTCCTCCTCCTCCTCCTCCTCCTCCACCTCCACCTACGTACTCCTCTTCCTCCTTCTCCTCCTCCTCCTCCTAGTCCTCCTCCCCCTCCTCCTCCGCCTCTTCTTCCTCCTCATCCTGCTCCTGGTCCTCCTCCTCCGCCTCCTCTTCCTCGTCCTCTTCCTCCTCCTCCTCCTCATCCTCCGCCGCCGCCGCCGCCTCCTCCTTCTCCTCCTCCTCCTCCTCCTCCTTCTCCTCCTCCTCCTCCTCCACCTCCTCCTCCTCCTCATCCTCCGCCTCCGCCTCGACCTCCGCCTCCTCCTCCTCCTCCCCTCCTCCTCCTCCTCCTCCTGTCCTCCGCCTCCCCGTCCCTCTCCCTCTCCCCCCCCCTCCTCCTCCTCCTCCTCCTCCTCCTCCTCCTCCTCCTCCTCCTCCTCCTCCTCCTTCTAATCCTCCGCCTCCTCCTCCCCTCCGCCTCCGCCTCCGCCTCCTCCTCCGCCTCCTCCTCCTCCTCCTCCTCCTCCTCCTCCTCCTCCTCCTCCTCCTCCATGTCCTGCCTGTAGCAGTGGTGGTGGAAAGTCGCCCCATCACGCGAGCACCGAGCGCTCGCTACAGAACTGCAGCGCCGCGACGCGGCTGGGCTCGGAGAGGGAAGCTTTTTCCTTGGGCCGCCCGCGGGCGCCGCCAGCTCTCCGCAGGCTCGGGCACATATCCCGGTGCCCGCCAGTGCCTCCCCGAGGAGCAAGCTCGTCACCCGGACGCGGCCGCTCCGCGAATTCGCACGAGGGGGAGGACAGACGGGGGGGGATGAGGGAGGGGAAGGGAGACGGAGGCAGAGGAAGCGAAGGGAGGAGGAGGAGGAGGAGGAGGAGCAGGAGGAGGAGGAAGAGAAGAGAAGGAGGGAGGAGAGAGGAGGAGGAGGAGGAGGAGGAAGAGGAGGCAAGTGGGACCTGAGCAGACACAGGATGCATCCACCATGCTGCGATGCACCCAGCCGTCCCAGATCCCCCCCTCATGAGTCCCTACTGGCCTTCTCACTGGTGGTGCAGGAAGCGCCCCCTTGCAAGACGAACACCCGGTAGGCCTGCCAGTCAAGGGGAGAGCCCCAATCTGTGTGCAGGAGCTCTCCTGCATCACTCCAGCGAAAGACAAGGAGAAGGACACCAGGCATTAAGACGACCGAGATGTCCATCGAGTTGAACAGGGACCGACCGTACCCGCATTCCTATGGTCCTACCACGACATGTTCTTAGAACCCCTAAAATGTTCTAAGAACAAAACAATGTTCTTAGAACATTAACCCGACCTGTTAAACCAAGACGGCCTCAACCAGAAATGGTTTAACATTTCGTCGAAACCACAAAAGGTTATTAGAACATTGTTTGGTGGGGCTACAGGCGAGCCAGGACGCTTTGCCACTGCTTGATATATATATATAGGTGTATATATATATATATATATATATATATATGTGTAGATATATGTCTGTATATATATATATGTATGACATGTATATATACGGATATCTGTATAAAAGATCTCTCTCCCTCTATATACACATATAGATGTGACTGCTGCGCGCGCTTCGGGCGACTGGGCGCAGCGCCCAAGTGAGAGCCCCTCTGGAAGCCAGCAGCCCCCCATCCGAGCACCGGCGGCGAGTGAGGGGGGAAAGGTGAGGAGAAGAAGGCCTTCTCGGGATGCGGCGGGACTTCTCGGAAGCCCTCGCGCCTTCTGAGAAGTTTCCTGTGCCTTCGGGGCAAGGTGAGACAACTTCTCAGAAGGCCCGGGGACTTCCGAGCCTTCTGAGGAAGCCCCACCCTTCGAAGATCTGATTTCCCCGCGGGCTCGCAGCAGAGGGAAGTTGCTGCAAGACGTCACGACGAGTGTGCCCGGCGCCATGGAGAGAGCCCCGTCTTGAAAAAAAGCTGCCCTCTCTCGCTGTAGCTTCTGGCAGCAGTGAAGACGAATGTGCACGGATGAAAAAAATGACCCCAGTTTGGAATGGACCACCCTACATAAGTGCAGCGGGTCGAGATGCCAGGCTTGAGTATCACGAGTGGTAAAGAAATGTCAAGCGAAAAAGCCCGGCCCTCCTCCTCCTCCAA